TGAAACAAATTTTAGAAGATATTATTTTGAAGTTACAATTATTGAAGATAAGAGAAAGAAGAATGAGAATTTAATAAAAATACTCAATTTTTTATTTATAAAAAATCCTCAAGTGTATGAAGAATATATAAATAATAATATAATTTTAAATATAATTAAATTTAAAACACGAATTACCCAAAAAAAATTCAAAAGACATATGTTTATAATTGTAACTTCTTAGTAAGATTAAAAAAAAAACTTTTAATTTGTAGATTATTATTTTAAATTTTTTATTAGCATAAAAAAATTTCTTAATTTATAAATTATTATTTTAATAAGAATTTAAGTATATAGTTATCAAAATTTGTCCAAAATTAGTTTTTAATATAAATTGAACAAGTAAATTTCAAATACTAAATTTTAACTTCAAAATTATTTTAAATAATAAACTAATCTAGTTATTTATATGAATTCTCTGCACGAGTGACCTAGCTGTGTCGTTTACAAAAACATTACAAGGAGGCTATATATCATATCGGTGTAAGTAGTAATATAATGTAGAGAAAGAGATCGTGTTCGACAAATGAAATATTCAGAAGTTGCCATGTAAAATCATGGAAGCAAAAAATTCAAAAAGTGCAGAAAGAAAGGAAAATTTGCAGAAGATATATATGTATATCCTTCATATATATATATATATATGTATAGGCGAGTAATGTGGACGGGATAGCTGTGGAAGGGCCAGGGTGGTCTTATCCAGTTATAATCTTCACCATGTAAACGGTCATGAATTCTTGGTGAGTCCTTAGTAGGGGCACGTGCACATATCCAGCTTATGTGTACAAGTTCCATTATATTATATATATATATATATATATATAATTAACAGAGCTTCCTGAAAGAGCATCAGATATATAGATATATATGTAAAGAAGGGGGGGGGGGGAAAAAAAGAAAGAAAAAAGAAAGAAGACAATAAAAGTCTGTCAAGAAAGCACATCATGTCTTTCTTGGAGAAAGAGTGGGGGCATGAAAGCTCAGTGCCTCCGACCCCATCATCCATTTCTGCGTTTTTGTCGTTGAGGTGGTTGCATAAGTTTTTTTTTTTTAAAAAAAAAAAATAAGAAGTAATGAATAATAAACATTTAAAATTAAAGAAGATTCTTTTAGAGGGAGGACTAGTAGAGTGGTGGTTTTCAATTAGATATTAAGGTCATGGGTCGTAGTTTTGGATGGGTGCCTGCCCCCCGCTCGCTCGCTCTCTTTTGTTTCCTCTAACGCATTTTTGCACTATCCTTACCCCACTTTCTTTTCTAATTAGTATTTTCAGAATAAATTTAGGGTTTTTTTTTTTTATTATTTGTTTGATACAAGTATATTTATGTTAATTTAAGGTGGTTGGCTTCTTCTTGATATCTCCATAGCTTTCTTTGATGACCCCACGATAAGTACAATAATGGCCATGATACCCTAATATACCTTTTCATGCAAATACATTTTGGACCCCTTAATTTTCTATGTCCTACCACCATTATAAATTATCATGACTGCATTACCCTTTACGCACTCTTAACCTCACTACTTTTTTTTCCTCACTTTCCCATCTCTCTCATCATTCTCTTCTTCTTCTTTTTCTTCTTCTTCACCTTCTTCATTTTGTCCTTCCTCACAATAATGCCGGAGGACGTAAATCTATCTGTTAATGGCCACTCTAAGGTCCCTCCGGGCTTTAGATTTCACCCCACAGAAGAAGAGCTCCTTCACTATTACCTCCGCAAGAAAGTTGCTTATGAAAAGATTGACCTTGATGTTATTCGTGAGGTTGATCTTAACAAGCTCGAACCCTGGGATATTCAAGGTAACTACTACTTTATATATACATATACATATACATATACATACACACACATATGTAGTATCCTTTTCTTAATTTTCATTTTCTTGGACGAATTTCTCATGGTTTTTGGTATACATATGTAGACAAGTGTAGAATAGGATCCACTCCACAGAATGATTGGTACTTTTTCAGTCACAAGGACAAAAAATACCCAACTGGAACTCGAACCAACCGCGCCACGATGGCCGGATTCTGGAAGGCCACCGGCCGGGACAAGATCATCTATAGTGGCTTTAAAAGAATTGGACTGAGAAAGACTCTTGTTTTCTACAAAGGAAGAGCTCCGCACGGCCAGAAATCTGATTGGATCATGCATGAGTACAGGCTCGATGATAATACTAATGAAACTAATAATGTAAGAACATATAAATATATAGTTATATATGTCTATATAAGTTTCCCAGCTAACTTTTCAAATCAATTATATAAATACATAGAGTTTGACTGATATATAATTAAATAATCAATGTTATTCTCTTATATTATCTAATCTTCTTTGTCTTACTAACTATACTCTCTCTCTATGTATATGTGTATATGTTTGTACAGGGTTCTGCTTCAATGGGAGAGTCCATGGGTGAAGATGGGTGGGTGGTATGCCGTGTGTTTAGGAAGAAGAACTACCAGAAATCTATGGAAAGTCCAAAAGGTTCCGCCATTTGTACGGACTCAAGAACACAGATGCTTTGCTCCGACAACGATGGAGTTCTTGATCAAATTCTTCTCTACATGGGAAGGAGTAACAATTCGAGTACTACATGCAAGACGGAAAACAACGACGTCGTTCCATTTTCAAGCAACAACAGCATGAGATCACTGCTTTCTGCAGAAAACTTGAGTTCCATTAATGGCGACGGGACAGTTTTACAGGAAAGGTTTATGGAGCTTCCGAGGCTAGAGAGTCCAAGTAGCCAGAACCAGCTTACTTCAGTACTTCCCATGGTCAACAGCTCACCAAACTTTGACCAGGAACAACAGCGTGTAAGCTTCAAGTCCTGCTACGATCAGTCGTCAATGGAGGAAATGTTGATTGCAGAAACAGATCAGTCGTACAAAGCAGCCGGGCTAAGCGACTGGGTGGCGTTTGACCGGCTGGTGGCGTCACAGCTGAACGGCCTAGCGAAAGACGACGTCGTATCCTGCAACGTTAATAAGCAGTTGTCGTCGTGCTTCGGTCTCGACTCAAATGCATGCTATGTTGTTTGCGGTGGTAATGATGAGCATGATCATGATGATGATGATGATGATACACATTTATCCCACTTATATGATCATAATCTGCAGAGATCAAATAATCATCAAGTGTTAGCGCAGGTATATAGCGAGAATCATCATTTATGGAGCTTCTGTACTAAGTCATCATCTCCATCATCATCTTCAGACCCATTATGCCATTTGTCCGTATAACACAAAGGGGTATATATATATATATATATATATATATACACACATCATTCTACGCAGACCCATACATATATTATATATTATATATATAAGTAGGAAATAGGTATCTTTCTTTTAAATAAATTACAATACTTAGTGATAATTAATTGAACTCATATATAATTTCAGTATGCTTACTGAAATTTTTTTTTCCATTTACTACACATTATCGTTATTTTGTAAGTAATATATATTATAATTAGTTGCCTATAGATATAAATGAATTTGCAAATTTTATTAAACATGATTGTTTTCTTTTAAATTTTTGCTAAAAACATTAATATACAAATTAAAGTTAAAGAAGAAAAAAAATAATGTGATATTGTATATATATATATATATATATATAATATGGGTGTGTGGCTGTGATAAGATAATATTTGTGGCGGTAATCATGCGAAAAGAATGGCGGAGAGGATGGTGATTCGTTAACCATATTGAAAAAGGTTGAGAAGGTAATTATAACACAATGCTGACTTTATAAAGAGATAGATATATATACATATGCATATATATATATATATATATATTAGGAATCTCTCTCCCACGATTACAAAAATAATTACGCACAAAATGGGGCTGTTGGGTCGCGCATTGGCAAAGAGATCAAGACAGGATCGTCTTGTTATCCTGGTGTCGAGGAAAAGACTACTACTACTACTCTAATGGCCTGCTTTTATACACATACTTATATATGTATATATATATATGTATGTGTATATGTATATGTATATAAAAGATAGATAATCATATATCAGGAAAAGGTGAATCGGAGTTTCTTTTGGGAATCATGGATAAGACACTGCACATGCATGAGAACAAAAGCTATATAATGTAAACAACATATATCTCTTTAAGTATGCTAAACATCAATTGTTATAACCAATTATTTTTTAAACTTTATAGAAAAACTCATGGCTAATTATGCTAAAAATGTAATTAATTTTCAGTTAATTACGTATTAATTTCGATTTCAGGCGTCAAAAGTATGGTGGTGTAATTGTACGGAGAATTTAAAAAAAAAAACAAAACAAATAAAGACAAAACAAAAACGAAGCCAAAAATTTGAGTTAGGTGGGAAATTGAGACTCTTATATAGTTTTATTGCTTTACTTAATAATATTATTGACAAGACTGGCTAATCACATTTACATTGAATTTACATTTCAGTATTAATATATATTCCTAGGTTTATAATTATAATGAAGACGAGATCCATGGCAATATATAGACAATAACATATATGTATAGTTATAGTTATTTATTTGTACATAAGTTTTCTATATGTATATATAATATCAGTACTCTTAATATTTCCACATATTATATACATACATATATATATATATATATATATATTAATCTAAATGGTTTCAAATACTATTGACAATTAAATTAAAAGGGTTTAAAAGGGTTTCAATTTCATTACTATATTTAAATAATAATATATATTTAAGAAGTGCATAAACTATATTAAAAACATATAAATCAAAGCTTCCGTAGCTGGACCAAGGAGGCAATTTGAAAAATTCCATATATATTAAAGTATTAATCATGAAAAAATTATATATAAAAAATTATATGTATCGTTTTCTAAATAAATACATGCATTTGATTTTCTAGTAAGGTGACGATGCGGAAAAGGAAATGTCATTCAACAACTCCAAACACACACTTTTCCATACTCTCAAGAATCTAATAAAATAAAGTAAAATACAACAAACGTGGTATGATTCACTTCTTGAATTTATATATCTATATATATATATATATGTCTGATAATTATAAATTTATAATTCATAAGTGCACACTAAAGAATTTATATGTATATATATATGTACATATGTTTATAAATATTTTTTAAAAAATTTATTCTATGTTTAATCTCATTTAATTTATATATACGAGATAATTGGCACGTTCATATATATATATATATATATATATATCTATGTTCGTGATCAAAATATGTATGTTTGTGTGTATATATATATATTTATAGAGAGAGAGAGAATAACTTACAAGATAAGAAGAAAAAGTACATCCAAATTAGGAGATGGACGGCATTGATTTAAAGAGTGTATATAATATTGGTGATGGGTTAATTTTCAATGTAATAATTAAGTTGCTACCAACTTGTTAATTAACTACAAAGTAGGAGTGCACACTTGTGATGTTGAATTCAACCAAACTTTAATTAAACTTATTTCATATTTTATTATTAATTAGTACATACATAATATATCACCTACAAAATAGACATATTTTAATTTATATCTTATGTAAATTAGGAAAAATAAATAAACATATGAAGTTCAGCATTTCTCTAAAATTTTATTATATACTGTTGTGTTCATTTGACTATTTTAAAAAAAAAATAAAGAAATTGAGATTATTATTTTCTCAAAGATCTGAAGTGTTTAGTTCACCTAATCTGTCAAAATATTTTGGTTTAGAAAAAAAATAAAAAAAAATTATTTTAAAATTTTAAAAATAATTAGATACAATCAATTTTTATATTGATTACTACTTAATTGGTAGTCATCCTCGAAGAAAATTTCAAATGTCTTACAATAAAAATATCTTCAGAACTCACTGTTTAAAAAAAAAATCTAAATCTAATCAGCCAACACTAAATCACCCAACAAGTTTAGGGTTGAGACCATGCTCTGACCAGAAGAGTAGCATAAATGTTTGTTGCATGGAGGCATAAAACAATAACATCTCCTAATATTTTTCAAATACTTCTTTTAAAAAACTACGCTAGAGTCTTAATAAATTTCTCACCCCTATATCTTTACATTGCTTGCACTATTTTTGTACATTATGAAAAACAAGACTTGAATTTCCACACCCCATAATTTCTCACATTTTTTGAACCTCCATTACTCTGGTTTTCTTTCTTCTACTATCTCTTCCACTAAAAAAAGTTTAGTTGAATCCCAACACCTCTAATTTCCCTTAGCTTTCTTTTTTTTTTTTCTTTCAGTTTCCCTTTATACAAGAATACTAAACCCAAAATTCTCTCCCCTTCTCAGCACTTTGTTTCTCATTCTTCATTCATTGCATACCCATAAACTTAGTTAAATTGTAACACCTCACACTCATATGAGGCACAATTTCTGCTCATACCATTTTTATACAATAAACTCACAAAATATATATATACACATATCAAAATTTATTATACAAATCTAGTATTCCATATGATATATACAATAATTATATATACAGAATATGAGGTCAAAATTTAGAGTTTAATAAAATAAAATAAAAATTTCTCGAATGTGCACAAAATATACATAAACAGAAACTCTTTTACAAGTTCTACTCGTCTAGCAGCGGTTCTAACTTTTCTTTCTCCTCTAAAAAATATCAAGGTGAAATTTAATGATTTTCATCAACTCAATAAGTATTTTCTTTCTTTCATTCTAGATAAAATTTAATGCAAAATACACAATATGAGACAAATAAAGTAGTGATATTTCAATGTAAAATTCATTTATTATTTTCACCATTTTACATGTTTCTGATCGAATTTCTGAATTCTCTCAAATATCATATATAATATTCAAGTGTATATCCACATACTTTCGAAAGAACGTAGATACACTCGAATATAAATCATAGCCTTAAAATATAACCACATATACATGAAAGATCACATATACACTCGAAAAGTCATTTCTGAGATTTCATTATGCGATGTCGTTTATGTCATTATCAAAGAGATGCGAAATGGATCTCCTCATATGATGGATAACACATACACAAATCTTATAATGGTTATAGTAGGTACGTTTACTAGGTGACCCACACTTACAAATACCTATCCACGTCTGAATTAGGTTTTAAACTATATCCATGTGTAGGTTCACCATGTCCGCTAAACTTTAGCCACACACACACACACACTCTCCTCCTCGATTCAGACTAAACGAAAAAGGCATTCAAAATCCATACCCTAATCACAGACTAAACGAAAAAGGCATTCAAAATCCATACCCTAATCATTCGCACCTACTTGTTTCTGATTTCTTATTTATTTTACTCTCATTCTATTTTCTCTAAAATTTTATTGACGGATTATTTCACAACCTTAATCATTCATTTTCATTTTTGTTTTTACTTCGTTATGTTATTTTTTTTTTCAACCTTCTAATTAATTAGTAATTTATTTTAGGTTTTAAATCATTTCTTACCACAGTTCAAGTATTCCTCAGTCCTTGGGTTTGTTTTTTGGTTCCATCACCTCATAATTTCTAATAGCTTAGGTTCACTTGTCATAGGTTCAAGTTTTATTTCTCATCGAAAATTGGGTCAATATCCATTCAAATTTTGAAATACTCAAATAAATAAAATACATGCAAAATTTCAAAAATTCTAATCTAGGTTTAGAATCATAAATACTTACACTTCTACACGACATTCTTCCTAAATCTGCTTGAACGTTCTAATTCCCTGTACGCGCACGACATAAATTAATTAATATAATTTAAATACTAAATAAAAGCTAATTTAACCAAAATCATGAATTTCAATGACAACCTGATGGAATACCTAAAAATATCGAGATCCGTACCTGAGGAAGACATTTCGACTTTCCGTTCGGTGGATCGAATTTTTGTACTCAAGAAAGACTTTTCAACTTCCTGAGTGGTGAATCAAATTCCCAAACGGGTGAATTTAGTCTCCATTCCCAAGGAATAACCTTTAACTTCAACGGGTGGGTCAGATTTATACTCATGAGGAAACTCCTCAGTTCTCGAGCGAGTAGATGGCCAGTCTGAGCTCCTGCGGCCAACCCGACTCCTGACCACCACTCCTCCTCGCTCAACAACCAAAACTAAAAACAAAAAAAGTTTTACCTTCCCAGCGTGGGACGATTTAGCCTTAGTTTGGCTCCTACGATTTCCTCTCGGCCACCACATAGCTCCCTTACTTGTTTGCAATTTGAAATGATG